ATATCTATTACTCATATGACTATCTTACCTTATCATACATCAACATAAACACATCTTTTAAATTTAGTTATGCCTGTGTAACAGGAAAAAGTCTGCAGACGTTACGTATGAATACAATAAACTGTTTTCGTTGTTGAGAGTATGATTTGCATGGCCATAAGGGGCACTTTAAAATGTCTGCTCTACCCCGTGGATGGTATGCAGAATGTTCTTTAAACAGACAAGTCATTTTACATGAATGACATACTCTCACATGGTCAAATTGGCAAATACAGTGGATAGGTATAATTTAACCTTCGAACATTTTGTCTTGAATGCATATTACTTTGAAATGATTATCATGCCGATGGCCGATGGCCGATACCACGTGACTATTGTTGTCACAGACGCTTCAATATGGCAGCAGACGACAGTTTAGTTCTGAATAGAATAGAGAACACTATTCGTTTTGTATATATCAGTAGATCATTGCTGGTGGCGAGTGAAAAAACACACCAAAATCTGTTATTAACAGCTAGAAGTTTCTGTTTTCATTAAAATAATTACTTTATCAGTTTATTAGACATAAATTGTAAACTTTGCACTTATCCATCTGTTACGGATGTGTTTATCACTCCCTCCGTTACGGATGTGTTTATCACTCCCTCCGTTACGGATGTGTTTATTCTGCTAGATGTAGGATCTACTGTCGGGAAAATTTAACGAAATTATGAGGAAAATGTCCACAGTTAGCATTGTTATAGATCGAGGAAATGATAAGAAATAAATATGCTGTATGTTACATAGAAAACAACGGAGGAGATTTTGGTATTTGGCATGCTAATTAATTGTGTACAGTAGATGAAAGAACTTTTCCTATTTACTGAAATGATTGCAAAGTTACTCAGAGATTTAGAACATACTAAACAAAAAATATATGTGTTTAATCATTACATTATGTGACAATTTCCGACAATTTTGAACATTATAAACATACCATCAAGCTGATTAACAGCAGACTCCTGTCCACCAGGGACTCCAATAAATGATGTGGTGTCCTGCATCGCATCAAAAATCTTTTCTTCTGCTACGCTCAACGCAGCAGGTTGAGGCCCTCCTCCAGTCTTCTGTCGCTCCAGACGATTACTGGTAAACTTTTCTTTCGCACAGCGACTCATATTCCGCCAGCGGTTTCTTACCTCTTCTTCTGACCTGCAGGCTACCCCCAGGGCATTCACCTCTTCTGTCAAGGTCTTCCAGAAGTCCTGCTTCTGGGTATTCGTTAATTCATTAGAGTGCCTGCCTCTCACGATGTCCAGCATCCCTGCTACTGATCAATCCACTTTCTAATGAGGTAACATTCGGTTTCCTTTCCCTCGCCTTGTTGCTGACTCCAGCCATGTTGGAAATGGAGGGAAAGGTGGGGGAGGGGGGAAGTTGGACAAACCAAATGCATTGTGGTAAAAAATGCGAAACTAACTGTCGTAAGTGTTAAAATGTTTGTGAAAGTGATTAACTTTTGGCGTTAGCTAACGAGTGCGTTAAATCCTTTTGAACAACAGATTTAACGCAGGCGTTAACGAAGGCGTTAACGCATAATTAGCGGTTAGCGACTCGTTAAATTTAACGACATCGTTAGCTTAACGATAGTTTTGAATAACCGGGCCAAGAGTGACTTGTCATATTGACCTCATATGCAAATTTTATATGCAAATTTCGGTACTTACGTTTGGGCGATTCGGCATGGATATAGGGAACATAGGCCAAATAATAGTAGAATACAATACTCGATTCCCTACTCATTAGGCGAGTGGACATACATAAATAATTTCCACATGGGTCGGGTCGTTCAGGCTAATACAATACTCCTTCACAAGGCATATTTGGCTCATAGATTCACATGTTGGTGTCTAACTTGTAACACGTGCATATGTAAGGTAGGGTTTATACTGCTATAATGTATAAATATACGCTAAATTAAAAATCAAAACAAAACAAAAACCCTAAAAATTACTGGACATGTTAACTTATAGGGATATGATCGGAGAAGTGTAGAAAGTTTTTTTTAATTTTCGGCGAAAGAACAAGAACGTGTACATCAGTACAAATAGAACCAGACTGACCTATCGTGTTATATGTATTAGTCGAACTTTTATTATCTGACTATATCATGAATAAAAATTGTTGAAATGAAAATTGAAATGAACTGAGAACTATAGACCATAAATTACATGTTGCTTAAAAATCATTGATATCAAGTAAGTTGATATGCTAGGCGAGACTAAACCATTGTATGTAATATGTCTTTGGGAATTGTTCTTGAAAGAAAGATTGGCACATGTGATTAACTGTAAAAATTCTGTTCAACGTATACTTATCTTATTCATTGGTTAGTTGTTTGTGTCTAACTATACTATTGAACAATATATGTGTGTTCAAAACATAAAATGTTACTCTAATCTAGACTTCTTCATTATAACATTGTTTTGACAAATATTGCTCATTGTTATGATCGTAATGTATTACAATTAATATTTATCACATTGACCGGCAGTCAATTGATTTGTTTTTAATCATGCGAAAAAAATACTGGTATTTGGAATATTCCACTTCTACACTTGATGTAATCTTGTCCTATCATTGTATTAATTTGATGTGAATCGCACTTGTAAAGTATGTTTGGTCACAATAACACCAATGTTCAATATTTTATTTATTATGTAAAATATATCATTAAAAGCAACATCCTGTAAAATCCAGTAGAGATGACTACCATAATATATTCATGCGGTTTTTGCTTGTGAAGCGAGCATGGTAACCTATACATGTCGTGCGTTTTGGAGTCAATATAAACGTACTGTTTTTACGTTTTTTTGTGTGGCATGAATTCCATCGACATAACGGTAATATCCGACCATTGCAATTATAACCCTTCTTCATTCTTCCGTTGAGTGTCCTCTTACTGCTTGATTAATTATTAATATATTAAACTAAAATTTCAAAAGAAAGCTGAGCATTGTTAGAGTTCGAACAAGTTCGATAAAAACATAAGTCAGCTGATGATATTGAATTATTGTTATGTGATTGCCTACCACAATTTTCATGTTAATTACAAATTTATTATCCAAGATTTGTATTACTTAAAGTCTTAAAAGTTCTGACTTTGCTCAATTGTGCTCCTTGATTTACATGGTGTGCTTTATAACTAAACAACATTTTTAAATTGTCATTTATTGGCTCATTAGTGTTGCACTCACTTATTAAATTTTCATTTTGATATCAAGTTATTTGAAAATTTGTTCGAGGTGCAATTCATTCAAAAGTCATATGTGACAATGACAGTAAGAATGAAATCCGTCTCTTATCCATGTCAATCCCGTCAGGGAGTTTAGCTCTTTGATACCCATTTTCAGTTTTTATTCTGAATATCTATATATACATGTATATCTGTGCTGTGCTATTTAATAGTCATGCGCATAACGCTATTTTATATAAGCCAGTCCCTGTCAGAATATCACTCAGTTGCCTTTTATGTCTATTCAATAAGTTTGATGGTTTCGTGAAATCCATGTTTTCCGCCTTTTATAATTATATTACGTCATTTTACATTATAGGTTGTCAATCCTTTTTATCTTCAATCTGTTTCGACGTTAAGAGTGTGCATGTCATTACACAAAATAGTTCATCGGTTTCATTTATATGGATATTTACCAAGTAAAATGACGCAGTAGTATTTCTCTGAACAATGCAATAACAACGTATATAAACTGTAAGGGCAATGCATAGGAAAATGACTTATGCACCTGATTTATATTCTTAAACAATATTTTTGTTCACCATTCATTAAAATAACTCCTTAATTAAGTTTTTGTGTTGTGTATAATCATGTCCATTTGCCCATACAAGGATAATGACCGTACGACTGAATGTTTCAAGTCTTATATTGTAAATTTGTTTTTTCATTAAGGTTAAAACATGTCTCTGAAGATTATACGCAACGGTGACATCAGGATGGAGTGTTTGTCGGATGCGTAAAACCTGAGTAGAATCACATGGCATGACAAGAAGTTGTAGCAAGAATTACGATTTGCCTCGAAATCGCCGTTATCATGTACTGATCCAGTCGCCGAAGTGAAACAGGAATTGGTATGATTCTTTGTTGTTCGGTTTCAATTTCCTGTTAGCCAGTTTAACATTGTTACAGAATAATTATTATAAATGTGACATTGAAATTATAAAGTAAGCAAGTATAAAATATGACTTACAGAAATTGATTTACTTTCACATTTAATTGTGCTCTATAAATGGTTGTATTACATCTTTACCTCGCAAAAATACTTAAAAACGCATTGACGAAAATATTTTGGCCAAGAATGCAATCTATTATTGTATTCATACATAATATATTTTTGCAATGTGTACATTTCATGGCCGTGACATTGTTGACATCGTTCTAGGGTAATCGGCGCCGGCTGACAAGATTGCGGCTTTTCGTGATGATTTTCTACGCGTGAGATCAATTTATTTTGTTAAGTTTGATGTTAAAATGTATTAAGTACATTGCGATACCAAACTAGATATTGTTTAACAATAGTACTCGAAATACAGCGAAGTTACCATACACTTTATCCAATCACAGCCGCGATCGGCTGTCATGGTAACAATACGAAGGATAGGATATATTTTTAGACCCAACCGATTTTAATTATTTGAAAAACCTTAATTATTGTAGCATACTAGCATAATATATTACTTAACATATCAGAGGGGCGTTTTACATGACACTGATATTACTGTTGTCGATAATACAAACATATCAGAAGGACTTGTAACATGACATTGGTAGTACTGTTGTATATAATACCAACATATCAGAAGGACGTGTGACATGACACTGGTTGTACTGTTGTCTATCATACCAACATGTCAGAAGGAGTTGCGACATGATACTGGTAGTAAAATGACCGTTTATAGTTTTAGGCACATTCTACCACATTGGATAAACAACAACTAAATATTAATCATGTACTGCGATTTTTTATTTCCATTTACTTAAATCTGCAAAACATAATTTGCAAAGGCTCTTTGTTATGTTTAGTTATATGTTTTGATAACTGTAGCATTGGCGGGTTTTGATTGTTACCGAGACGGAAATGCAACGTTTATAGATACACACAACATTTCAGCCACAGTTACATTTTTTAGCGGTGCATGTGGTGGACAGGAAGTCGTGTCTGAAAGCGAAGTACCACTTATTCGAGGGACATTCCCAAAAACGTTTAGACCTCTCTGCAGTAGTCGGGTTGCCGTGCGTCTCATCTGCGTCGCGCTTAATTGTAGCGCCATCGATGAAATCGCCGTCGTCAAAGCTTCTTGGACGTGTGTCCAATAGTTCGTCTGTTCCGATAAGGCATCCGTCGTAATCAATATAGAGGGCGTCACAATAGACAAGGTACTTTCTCTGTTCAAAACCGCTGGCCACGCAACGCGTGTTTTCTCCACATGGGGGGTCCTCACTACAAATACAACGCTTTCCGTCAGTGCTTTATTAATTCTTTGATCGAACATAAATCAAACAAGGCCAAAAGTTCAATATTTGTATACCACATCAAGAGAACTACATAGAGATAACTTGTGTTTCTTATATTTACGTTAATTTGTGTTAACAGATGTTTTGTGAATGAAATTGTGGAGGATGTACGACCGCGGTACGATCAAATAACGTTGCTCCACAAAATATCAAATTACTAAAAACACTTCGTTTATATCATTTAACGTCATCAAAGTGGGACCATCACATAAAAGTGACTGTAATAGATAGACACCTACCCATCACAGTGTTACCCTCTTTCAGAAGGTTTTTTCAACTGGTACTCATAGGAACGACAGTACATTTCCTTTGCTAACCATTCATATCCATCCAAAATACTTCTAAACGGTATCTTCTTATCATAAAAACAGCACATGACTGTAGATGGAGACACCTACCCATCACATCCATACTTTAAAACAAAATATAGATACATACCCGCAACATTCAGCCTTTTTAATATTCTGAATATGTGGTTCAACAACCAAACACAATGTCAACCCGTGGTTTTTGAAGTATCCAAGAATGTGCTTTTGTTCGGTAGGACATATTGGATTTCCCCTGAAATGAAAAAGAAAGTATACTTATTTGATGAAAGAGTAATGATATGCACTCATGAAATATGTTACTCGTAATGTGATATTGAAATAATGTTTGATAAACCATGTATATTCTTGATGATTGAGGTTATAGTATGCTCTGTGAGGATAAGAAAGGATTGGTTGCTTCGTCTCAAAAGGTTTGCTCAATAGGGTGTCTCCTCTAGTAAATTCCGTTGTATATGACACGTAAGAATATTACACTTACAATTCTTCAGGTGGCTCAATGTCGCCAGGGAAGGATTTAATGTATGTGAATGCCAGCCAATGTGCCGATAATGCGTTCGACATCCGACCTCTGTAACAGTAAAATAGTCTGATACTGTAGGAACAAAAACAGAAAGTAATGAAGAATAATTCCGTCTTTGTAAAACGTCAGCTAATGTGCTGTAGAATCCGGGTCGTCATTTTTCAAAATCTTCGTTTCTCGGCGCGACATCATTTATCACCTAAATACAATGTATATAAATCCATTCAATGATTCCCGTGTAATGCTAGAACAATCAAATTAACCAACGTTTTGTTACCGACATGACAATATCTTTAATAAAATAAAAATAAAATCCAATACTAAACGGACCTTTAGATGAAGTACATAATCCAACAAAAAAACCAATAACAGTATTTTAACACTTAAACTGTCCCGAGGCCAAACAGGAATTCGAACCCTGGACCACCGATCAGATATGATCGTTCTAACCGACGGTGTACCCTTGCCAAATCTCTCAACAGTTATATCCTGATTAGATAACTAGATGTTTGATTTTTGGTGTCTTGCCTACAATCGTCTTTTACTTTAGTGACAACACCCCCTCACATTAATTGAGGTCAAATCAAAGTTATATCTCGTCCCCATACCGAGATTTCTGGTAGAGACAATAAAACCATAAGACATAATCATAAAAAAACCATCGACCTTCAAGTCGTCATCTTGGTTATGCTTTAACCGGATATCGTTGAAAGCGGCTGAAGTACATGTAGAAGATTCTGTAATGTCCTTGATTTCAAGCTCGGGAGGGAATATACGATCGGCGTGGCCAGTAAATTCCTTGTTATTTAAACACAGCACATCGTCGACATATCAGAATGTGAAATTGAGGGACTTGTCTGGGAATTATTTTGTTACCAGTACCGTAAAGCTCATCGACACATTCAGCTTCATTCAATATCAATGGAAAACAGAATAATAAATGCACCGTATGCTATCCGTGTAACACCCAGAAGGTATATCTATAAACGCTAGGTCCTATTGTATTTCTTTGCTCTAACGGTCTGCCAGAATTACATGAGTTTTAGTTGAATGAGTGCATCTCTATTGGTCAGGTCATCATCACTACAGGCTTTTTAGTAAACTGAAGTACATGTATTGTCATATTTGAAAAATAAAGTCCCATACGCAAAAGTGATATCCTAAATATCTTCAAACAAACATCATTAAGCATATTTTAACAATGATGTGGAAGGCAGAAAGTCTTGATTTCATGAAATGTAGACAGAGGGTTTCGTGATGTACTCAACTGCTGCCAAGAGACTGGCATTTAAACGGAATTGCCTTACTTTCTCCCAAAAGGGCAGAAGCAGCACGCTCAAGAGGAATCAAACGAATCAATATTGATAACAAAAATAAGGAAGCAAGTGGATTCTGCAAATAATTATATTAAGCACTGGAAAGCCCTTGATATTGGTATGCCAAATTGTCAAATCCCTTGTNGGGGGCTTTTTTTTTTTTTTTTTTTTTGAAACAAAATTGATATACAAAAGTTAAAAAAGCATAGGTGGACTAAACAACAGTCAAAAGAAAAATAATAATAAAATGACCCTTGCCTGTATACATACAATGGACTTCCTGTCCCAATCTTATTCCTGAGTACATTCCTTGATTATCAATTAAGTTTAGACAATTAAGTAATTGAAGCTTAAATATAGCAGAATTCAACTGTATTGAAAATGAGTCGCGAGGACCTATTTTCTTCTTATCTACCCACTTTATCGTTGATATTTCCATTAATATGATCATCAACCTTTTAATTGTTTATACAATTGTATTTCTTAATACAAACAAAAAAACAACAAAAAACTGTAGGCCTTATATCGGACATATGCCATTTCGCCATCCCACTTTGATACCTTATATCTCTCAAGGGGTCAAAACAGATTTTTTTCAAAAGTAGCAATTCAAGCAAATTATGTAAGTCTAACCGAAAACTATGATAAAAAAATAAATACTCTTTGGTGACGGGTCGTAAAATAGCCTATTATTGCATTCATCCTTTGCAATGCAATACAAACAATATAAAATTTATTTCCTTTACGACCGAATAGACAGACTAAAATGGTCTCTTCCTGTGAAATTAATAGCTTATATCACATGCGTCTTTACCTGATGTCGCTGATGCATGTCTATTTATTTTGTTGTGTATACATATTTATCCCCGAGCGCGAGTAACGCTTGGTTGGATGGCTATAAAACATGCTCACAATTATAATTTAATAATGTAATAATGTAAAGTTATCTAGAACCGAACCGAAGATTAATTGCCTGGTTAATGCAACCGGTTTTTTATTCAATCCATTTATCGGATCAGTAGATAGCAAAGCTGAATTCAACATCAAAAGGCACTTAAGCTACAGGGTTGATACAAAAATCATGCATTGCCACATGTGCAATTTCAGAACCGGTATTGTACCATATTCTTCAGGTATGTATAGTGAAGGCAAGACATATACTTACAAGAAGGTTTGGTATTCGTCTGATCGTATCGGTTTGTAGACATAACTGTGCTTTGAGATTTCAGTGTAATCAGAAACAATGCAACCACAACTTGGTTGTTTACACGCCTGAGTGCTAAGAAACACAGCCAGGAGGACTCCAACCTGTACCTATTGTATGGTAATAGAATAACACAGATATCCCAAAGACTACACAGATGGAACTTAATTGAAAGGAATTATCTTTCATCTTTTCAAACATCATCAACATCAACATTTGTTAGATTGTTAAGAATGATAAGTAAATAGCCACAGAGATAACCATTCGTCATTTAAATGATCAAAACAATAAAATGATAAGTAAATATATTCATAAACATATTAAACATGACACATCTATAATTATCTTGACCCAGTCATGAAGTTAAAATTCAAATTATCTTGAACCACTCATGGATTTAACACAGGAATAACAATTTATCACGATCATTACCATTTTCTGTGCAAACATAATTGTAAAAAATGAAATGTGCATAGCTACTTAAAACACGAATCGGATATATTAACAAACAATATCATTTAAATGTAAAAAATATCAAACATACGTGCAGCAGACCCATTGTTGAAAGGAATATATATGGACTGTTGCAGTAATTGTACGAGGGTCATTTATAGGAATGTAAATGTTAGTTTTCCACCAATGAATGAGGTACACATATCTATAATTATAAATGCAAGTTTATTCAGAGAGCAAAGAACGGAAAATAATTTAAATACATTACTGGTTTTTTTTACTTTGTCTTCGGGGCAAGGTGAAAAAACACGTATCTTGTTATAATCAAACAAACAAATTGCTGTTCAGGAATAAACTCGAGTGATTATAAAACGACTGATTGTGTCTATACGTACAATGTACATATTGCTTAAGATTAAACGCGCAAAAGAAACAGAAGTGCATGCAAACTCACCAAATGTCTTTATTTGTACAACAAAATATACAAAAAAAGATTCGCACATGCCAAATATAGAAGAAAAAAAACGCATTTTGCATGCAAAATGCATATGTAACAATAACAATGGAAAAGTGAACAATGGGCTAATGATAATTGAAGTTCGGCGCAAAATCAGAGGGGCATGAATCGTAGAATATACCTTAATATACATTAATAATATCTTTATATAAATCACTGCGAACAATGTTGTTATTTCAACCAAACGTCAAAGAGTAATACGGACGAAGTGTATATGCTTTGTTTGGTACAGACATTTTAAGACTTGTACATTTGTAGCTTGGGAGAGGGCCAAGTAAGTTTTAAGAACTCAGGTCCAATCCCTTTAACTGATTAATGTCAATAAAAAATGTTTGAATGAATGAATGGTTTGAAAGAAAAAAGAATGCAGCTTCATTTGACCATCGCCTAATGCTACATATTTTGCTATATTTTTTCTTATATCATAATATATTATCAATTATGTAATAAATAATCTAGTCTTAATAAAAGAAAAGACATCGAAAACAATCCATTGATCTCAGTTTATTTTCATATGAAGTTGATATTTTGAAAATTCGTACTGTTGAAGAAGTTATATATAATATCTTTATTACTATCTATTACTTAATTAGTTGTAAAAAGTAGGTGAAGGCATCATTCCGTCGTGATTGATAATTGCAAGTTCATTCCAAGTATCTACATACATTTCTTTGCTTTGAGCAAGGCACGATGGCTTTAATGTCACAATGCCCTTAAGACATATTCATGCATTGGTGGCAACAATTTACCGTTGGTGTTTTTTTTAAAGCAAACTGCATACATAATTATAAATATGTGGTCTTCTGTCATTGGTGGAAAAATGTGCCTTTCTATTTTTTAATGAATCTCTTGTTATACTCACATCAACTGTTAATTCTTCGTTCATGCATTGGGTCTGTTTCAATGAAGTTTTTACTTTGTCGTGTTTGAGAATGACATAATCTTTCCTGTTTTTCTTTATTATTGAAATCATTAATTATACAATTATGACTGCAAAGAAAATGTTCGTGAATTGCGACATCGTCCGATATTTATTAGTTGTAATTACTAGAAATCAAAATATCTCAGGGGCGTCATTTTCATACCAAATGTAATACATCTTGTATCTTTAATAATTGTATTGATTCATTGATTTATTGTTAAATACTAAATCACCATCTTTGTGTTGATGAACTAATCCCTGTCAATGATCAGATTCAGATATCGGTGTTTGACGTGATAGAAGACAACGAATTGGGTACGAATATTTTATGGATGGAACACTGTAAAGAAATATACTGTTTTATACCAGGTATAGATCAACTGGGATCTTCACTATGGTGTTGCTCGGCATTAATGCGTGCACACCGGACCAGACCGTTAGATGTGGCTGTATTGTGAATGGTTCCCCTGACATAGAAACAGACAGTTCTGTTTTCGAAAGCATGACCATTTGGAATATATCTTGTAAGTAATCGTTTTAACTTAATTGATATAATTCAAGGAAACGTTATGCGATTATTTTTATATAAATCAGCGCAATTTCACTTTAGCATTAAATACAGCAGGTCATACTCATTTACGCACATGTAGAATAAAAGGATATATCACATTTATAGCCAGCTTTTCCCTTAGAACTCACCGTTACCTACTACTGATGCAGTCATTGAATTCAAACAGGAACTGGTCATGCCAATTTTGTTGTTCGGTTTCAGTTTTCTGTCAGCTAGTCAGCTGTTGCTATTACCCGAACTGCTGAACTTTATGCATGCACTATTAAAGGGACTTTGGCATATCCCGGCAAGGGAACAGAACACATTGTCTTCCTCGCTTGGGCAAACGTTTAACACAAAGTCAAAAAGTGAGGCATTGCCAATGAAAGGGCTAGGAAACAAAAAATAATGCTAGAACGTAGAGAATCTATAGCGATTCTAAGTCTGCCATGAGAGTAGCTCAACTTTGTTTTCTTCAATGCATTCATAGCAAACAGCACAGAGCAAAACCCTAAATTTGCAGGTAGAATCACATAGTCGCCTTTTACAACATTCAGCGGGATACAAGCAGACCTATTCTTTCCCCGAACCTGCCGGGCATAAAACAGGTAGTACTGATGTACCAAAAGACAACATACTTCTGCTGTCTATAATACCAAGAGATCAGAAGGACATGTGTTATTACACTGGTAGTACTGTTATCGATAATGCTAACAGACCAGAAGGACATGGGACATGACACCGGTAAAACTGCTGTCTATAATACCAACGTATTAGAAGGGCGTGTGACATAACACGGTTAGTACTGTTATCGATAATGCTAACAGATCAGAAGGAGACATGACACTGATAATACTGATGTCTATAATACCACCAGACCAGAAGGACGTGTGACATGACACGGTTAGTACTGTTGTCTATCATACCAACAGATCAGAAGGCGGGTAACATAACACTGCTATTACTGTTGTCTATTTCAGATCAGCAGGATGTGCAAAACAGTATAAACATAATCATAAACAAACCGTTAACAACAGTAATACACAATCTATCACATTAGACAAACTAAATTATTAATCAAGCAATTTGTTTATTTGCTTACATCTGAAAAAAAATCAAACTCTCGATCAGACATGTCGAAGAATTGTAATACAATTTGCGTTTTGGTGGCTTATTGTTACAAAAAAACTGCACAAAATATTAAAACTATCAGCCACAATTACACTTTTTTTCGACGCATATACTTGGCAAGAAATCGTGTCTGAATGCGAAGTACCACTCATTAACGTAGCAGACGGGAATCCGTCGTTTTTCTATGTCTTTAGGAGTTGAGCCGTCGTAATATTCGTCCCGTTTACGTCGGCTGGTAAGGATCAAGTCGTTTTCATCAATCTCATCTGGGACTGTGTCACTTAGTTCGTCCGTCGCTGGGCACACACTGCGTTTTTTCTCCACAAGCGGGTTCGTCACTACAAAAAAAAAGTTTTTTGTCAGTGCGTTACAAAGGTTGTGTTTTCCCGCATTTTTTTACAGTAAAGAAAGTGTCTATGAGTAAATGTTTGTTAAATGTAATTGCAGAGGTATATGACCGTCAGTCAAACTGACTAAATCCTTGGTTCCAAAAGTTATCAAAATTACTTAAACATACAATGTATCAATTAAAATTATCAAAATTACTTTACCTATAAAACGATCAGTACACATGTTTAAAACAACTAAAATCTATCGCTTCAAACCAATTACCTGTTTCAATACGCCCCGTGAATTAAAGAAAAGGCACTGTTCAATATTTAGTGGATATATTTATGTACTTGTTGACGAATCCTCTTTGTTGATTTTGTATTATTTTGTCACTGCCATATATTGAATAAAATACTGTTTAAACTATAGAGGATATTTAATGGTGTCTTCAGTAATAACAAATATATTTCATGAGTGTGACTAATATTTTGATATTTTTCACGAATGCGCAGTACGAATGAAAAATATCAACATATTAGCCACACGAGTGAAATAAATTTGTTACTACTGAAGACACCATTACATTTTCTATGTATTACGTTTTTAAAGCATAAATCTTGAAAAATGCAAAGCATCACCAAAGGGCGGGAATCAGAAGTGTAATAATTAGCGCCATATTCTAATGACGTCACGTGTGAAAAATATCATTTTATCAAGTTGATAGAATCCGATATTTTACTGGCAAAACTGTAATAAATATGTAAACCAATCACAAAGTTATAGGCATAGTTATTGATTGAGGTACCTACAAATACGTTTTTACAACAGTGTACATCTTGCACATTGTGAAATATGTCCGCCACAAAACACATTTTGTTATCGGTTAGCCTTGTTCATATGACGAGTGATCACAGAATATATTGATAGGGACTTTTATTAGTCATTCTAAAGCGTCCTCTCACAGCAAATAGCATATCTAAGACACGACAGCATGTAAGGGCCGGCGACATTATGCAAAACAACGTCAGTTAAAAAGGATAGATAAACGAGACAAGAACAAAAATATATTATAAACGCTGCAAAATAGGAGCAACAGGTTCCATACGCTTTTCCAGTTGGCGTATGAATGTGTCAGTAAATTAATGCGGAAAGTACTCCTATTTATAGATGCTTTCAAATGTATTTTTTCAGAAGTTTCAAACAGACATAATCATGTATATACACCTTATCTTGATTTTAACGTTGTAATCAAATCAACACACGACAATTATTGATCATACAAAGACGACGTCACACAGTGACTGATGACGTAATATGTGTCGGCACCTTCCGGTGGTTAAGTCTCACTAGCATACATTTCTAAAATACCTAGTCTCACCTAGCATACATTTCAATTTCCACACCTGATAACAATTTGGTTATAGTCTGTTTCGAAATGATGTAGATGGTAGTGTAATACAAATTATTATTAAGAACTTATGTCGACTTTAATCAGAGAAATAATCCATTTCCTTTGTAAAGAATTATAATGACACTAGGTAATAGATGAAATGATTTTTTTTTTTTTTAAAGGATACATTTATTTTGCCTGAAAATAATAACGATTTTACAGTTATTATAAAAGGTACAGTACTAGCCGCCTGCATGTTATCAAAATCTTAAATTATTGTTGATCAAGTAAAGCCTCATTAACTTATATTAATATCAAAGATTGTTTAAAATTCTG